CATTGGTTTAGAAGCCCACCTTACTCTACTATGACCTCAACTGCAATAATCCTATTTCCAAATGAGTACATTCTGAGATACTGGCAGTTAGGATTTCAACAAATGAATTTGGTGGTAGGGCAGGGGTAGAATTCAACCCAAACACCAGACTTGACATCTAACCTCTTCCTCAGGGACTGCGTGCACAACAATAACAACAAAAATAATCCCCACAAAGCAATAGTGAGGACGTGAGGGTGACATGGCTAGAATCATACTTGAACTTCGTATTCTTAAAAAGTATTTCAGCCAATCACTACCAATCACTACTAATTAGATGATCACCCACTTAGTATTCACCTTCCAGGATGTCAATGGTGTATCTTCCCCTCCCATTTTCCTCTCCTCTCCTGTCTTTCCTCTCCCCTTTTCCTTGGGGAAGAGAAACAAATCCCTTCTAATTTTCTCTTTCATATCAGATGACCATTGCCCTAGAGTAAGAAATGGGACTATTGCAATAAACAAGTCTAGTCTCCTCAGATGCAAAATGCACATTGAAATAGTATTTTGCCCTCCTCCTTCAGGCAGCAGACAAGCAATATAAAATGTTATCACAGGAGCTTATGGAGTATACAACAGAAATTTATTGCTTCATAAGACTGATAGCTTGAGAATATAGTGAACCACAAATTGGATATGGCACATTTTATAGTAAGGCAATTTTTCTTAAAAACATTTTTATCATAAAGTTTTCTCCCCTTTAGAAAAATATTAGTATTGATAGTTGATAATAAATTTCAATGTCAGGTAAAATAAAAATAAATTATTATAATCATTCTCCCATAATTTCTTACATTTTCCTAACTATCTAACCCTCCCTTTGAGTGATGGTACCACCAGTTTTGTACATAGAAGACTATCCAGAACAGCAAAGAATAATTAATCAGCTGACAAACCACATCTTCAGCAGAGCTGTAGTGCTCTTAGAAGTCAAACTACGTGACTTCATTACCTCTTTAAAAATTGTGTTTCTCATCTTGAGTTTTTGTGTATTTTTTGTTGTTGTTTCTTTTGCCTTCAAAGATTTCTCTTATATTCTTAGTTCAATTATATTTAGGAAGTTTTTACACATTTACATGTTCAGTTTAGATAAACGTTTTGCTAAATATTTTGGATATTTTGGTAGGAAAAGTTGTTGTGTACTGGGAACTTTCCATGATAAAGATTTTTAGCCTTCCAGATTTTTATTTAAAAAGCCACCTTCAACTCAAACTGTCCTGTTAGTTTTCACTAGTAATTCTATGTTGCTGAATCTAATGATAAATTCTGACTGAGTCTTCATCTTATTTGCATAATCATAGCACATGATATACCTAAGCACTTTTTCCTTTTTGAAGCACTTTATTTTTTTCTTCCAGAATACCCTCTCCTGATTTTCTTTTTTTCATCACTGGACATTCCTCCTTAGGTGCTAACTGTACCCTCCTCATTTTCTTCACACTAAAGCGTGAGAAACCTGCAAGTCTCTATACTCAGTCAGTCCCAGATCTCTATATTATTTCTCTGGGTGATCTCATACCGTCTTGTGCTCCAAATACCCTCTATGCACTGATGGTCCCTAACTAACTGTGTGTTGGTAGACTCAGACTCAACTTTCCCTTGAACTGAAGACTTGTATAACAATCGACTATTCAAAATTTCTACTTGCACATCTAAAGAGTAGCTCAAACAAAAGTCTAAATTCTTTCCCTTACCTGTTTCTCCTGCTACATTCCCTCTTAGAAAAGACCACCTCAATTTCTTTAGATACTCAGACAATAATAATAATAAATAAATAAATAAATACATACATAAATAATTATTTTAAAAAACATTAGTCATCCCTGGCTAATCTTTTCTTCATATATTTCCCATATATTAATTTAGATGAAAATAATTGTCACCTGTGCCTTCCAAATATATGGAATCCAAGCACTTTACCACTGTGCTCTTACCACCTTAGTTCCAGCCATGCACGCCATCCTTCTCATACATTGTCCCAGTCACATCCTTATGCTTACTTTCACTTATGTAATGCTCATTTATTTTCCGTAAAGCAGCCAGAGTAATCCTATTAACCTGGACATAAGAGTGTATCACACGTATATCCAGAACCCCTAATGTGTTGTTTTATTACCTACAATAAAATTCAAGTTCTTTCCACCGTCTGCAGGGCTCCATGGCATCTCACCCCTGACCACTCCCACTCAAGCTCTTCCTCTTTCTGTTCTGACTACATCGCACTCTTGGCTATTCTAGGAACATGCCTAGCACACTCCCAGCTCAGGTAGTTTGTGCCTGCTGTCCTCCCTGCCTACACATTTGGCACTGCAAAGTCACGTGGGAACCTGACCAACAGTTTTCTCCTCAATGAAGCCTGCACTGAACACTTTATTGAAAATAGATGCCGCCATCACTTTATATCCCCTAACTATGCTTTAGTTCCATTCATCACATTTATCTCTGCCTCATATATGCGTGTCTTTATTTTTTCATTGCTTTTCCTCCTCAAGATTTTAATCTTGATTTAGACATAGAATACTTCTCTTTTCTTCACTGCTGTATTACCAGCTCCGGAACAGAGCCCAGCACAGAGTAAATGTTAGAAAACCAAAATGCGGTTGAATACGTATGATCTCCTTATACAGATCTCCTTATACAGTTTTATGTGTTACCCAATGTAATTGAGGTAGTAAGTAGAATATTGAGATATTAAATCCTGGCCAATTTAAAAATAATAACAAAATGTAACAAAACAAAAAAGTGATATTTTTCATTGCTCTCTGCTACATTCATAAAATCACAGTTTCTTTGCATGATAGTCATGGGTTCCCCATCTGACCCCAATCTGCCTTTTGAGCCTCATCTAACATATGAATCAGTCTTCTTACAGAAGCCCTATCTAAACCCACTCCTGTTTTTCTAGCTGTCTCCCTTCAAACTCTTGCCCTTGTTCACCTCTGTGCTTTGCCTCATCCTTCTCCCTTAGCCTGGAGTGACCTCTTTCCCTATCTCTGGCTAACGAAATCTTCCTCTTGCTTTACTTAGGTCAAATGTCACTTACACCATTAAGTCAGCTCCGGTCATCTCAGTAAAAATTAATCTCTTTTCCTCCAGGCACTGCCAAAGCACTTCCTTTTCGTTTAACTTTTGGTGGTTTATATAATGTGCCTTGTATTAACTGTAATGACGTTCCCGCTCATGTTGCTCAAGAGAAACTAAGCTTCTTGAGGACAGCGGTTTCTTTCTAATCACCTTTGCATTCTTTTCTTTGATCATTACAGTGTTTCATATACAGTCAGTATGTAAATAGACATTAAAAGCATTCTTTTAACTCTACTGTCATATCCCATTGTCCTAATAAGAGAAATATCCAATTGCTTTTCACTTTTAAAGTTATTGGGGTTTGTTTGTTTTGTTTTGTTTTTTAGGCAGATTTTCACTCTATTTCCCAGGCTGGAGTGCAGTGGCACGATTACAGCTCGCTGCAGCCTCAAATTCTTGGGCCCAAGCCATCCTCCCACCTCAGTCTCCCAAATAGGTAGGACTACAGGTATGAGACACTGTGCTCAGCTAATTTATTATTATTAATTATTATTATTATTTTGTAGGAAAAGGGTCTCAATATGCTATCTAGGCTGATCTTGAACTCCTGACCCCAAGCAATCCTTCTGCTTCAGTCTCCCAAAGTGCTGGGATAACAGTTCATATTATTGTTTTGATGCATAAAGTTATAAACTCAGATTTCTCTTTTGACTGGCTGAAGTTTTACTATAAAGATCAGCAATATAATTCATAACACTTACTTACAACATACTTTCAAATAAATCCACATTACTTAAAAATGTAAATAGAGAACGATTATTAGGAGGAGTAAAAAATAATACATAAAGAGGAAGACAGAGAAGTAAAATATATGTGTGGTTGGGAAGGTAGTTCACATTGTGACATGAAGGGAAACTATGTCCCCTCAGTCCTTTTAATTCTTTGATTCCTTCCCATGCTGAGTCCAGTAGGTTTTCAGTTTCAATTGTGCATATTTATTTAATTTTCAATCCTTAGGAAGTTGCAGTATATGTCGATGGAATAGCAGATATTTTGATATAGTTGTCACTGAAGATACTTTGTGCAGATGCTTTAAGTAGGGTAAATATGACAAGGACAGAGTTCACACTACAGAATACTCATAATGTCATGCTTACATATTGGTGTGTTTTCCTTACGCACATGAAGAAGATTTTGAGCAGAAAACTAATTAAACCTTATTTGAGGTTGGGGAATATAATTTCTGTATTCAACCAGAAATATAAACTGCCTAGGGAAGAAATTTGAGTCAAGAAGTTTTTTAGCAGAATAGAGAACAAAAGCCTCATTTTTAGCAGCAGAGTAGTAATGGTGGAGGGAACAAAGAAATAATAATAATATCAAAGATTGCAAACTTAGACCACAGATTGCACAAAAATAAGTTAGTAAAGTATTTATTAATTGTGAATTTATTCACATGTATTGAGTGTTTTCGAAGTCTTACACATAAGAATGAAATGCTATTAATGTATAACATAGAGGTTTTTATTAACCTAGTCAAGAAGAAGCAACTACAGTTGAGAAGGAAGAATAGTGGTTAACTACTAAGTGAAGAAGAAAGGGAAGCATATTTCGAGGTAGAGTACTTGCAATTTCAGTGGCAGAAGAGCGCGTAGAAAGTTTAAGAAATGCCAAACTCTTGGACCTCAGTGCTGAAGGTGAGGTCATAGCCTAGGGTGGAGACATCATTTTCCAGTAGATAAACCAGACCCTGGTAGAAGTGGTAATCTTCACTCTCCATATCTGTATATCTGACTGACTTGCCCAAGATGTGTTTGTAAAAGGATCAAGTAGAGTAGCACTCCAAAAGATGGTTGTCATATACAGCTTTGGCCACAATGTGTCCGACAAACTTGAAGTAGCTGAGGAGGTTGGGGCTGCAGTGGGAAGATGGAATGATGGTGTGGGTGACTCGATCACCAGGTGAGGTAAGGAACAAGGCATACCTAGGGTTAAACATCTCTCGAGAGATGATCATATACCACCCCCGCAGGAGCCCGCCAGCATCCTGCCCTTCTCCTTCAAACACTATATTCAATCAATTCTTCATTTCTTCGGGGGATTTGCGATGCCTTGTATGCCAGATGAGAATGACAGGAGCCATCTGCAAGCAGCTGGCGGCTTTCTTACAAGGCTTCTATGAGATCACCACAAAGCGCCTCATGTCCATCTTCACTGAGCAGGAGTTAGAGCTGCTTATATCAGGACTGCCCACTATTGACATCGATGATCTGAAATCCAACACTGAATACCACAAGTACCAGTCCAACTCTATTCAGATCCAGTGGTTCTGGAGAGCATTGGTGTTCTTTCGACCAAGGTGACCATGCCAAGTTCCTCCAGTTTGTCACAGGTACTTCCAAGGTACCCCTGCAAGGCTTTGCTGCCCTCGAAGGCATGAATGGCATTCAGAGGTTTCAGATTCATCGAGATGACAGGTCCACAGATAGCCTGCCTTCAGCTCACACATGTTTTAATCAGCTGGATCTGCCTGGCTATGAGAGCTTTGAGAAGCTCCGCCACATGCTACTGTTGGCTATCCAGGAACTCTCTGAAGGCTTTGGGCTGGCCTAATAAGGCCCTGCCCATTTCTGTGGGGTTTTCTTGTTTGTTTGTTTCTTTGCTTTTTAACCATTGTTGGACTTGGGGAGGGGGTAGTTACAAAAAGAACCAGAAAGAAATTATCAAAAACCAATAAAACCAATAAATGAAATCCACCAACTCACCTTGTGTCCCAGCTGCCCCATCTTCCCCAGTGCATACCTGTTCCTCTCCTCATTCTCTCCCCACCGCCTGTTTCCTTGCCTTCTCTCCCCTGTCCATGCCATCCATGATCCCCAACCCATGTGTTTAAAAGGCAGTAACCTTTGCAGGGACCTGTCTGTCCCAACTGTTTGAACAGTGTGCTCCTCAGATTCTGTGTTCAGAAGGATTTGCTGCATTGAGACTTGAAACCTTTGGATAGGGGAAAGAATTATACATATATATATTTACATATGTATATAAAATAAATATATACATGTATTTATTCTGTTTGCATTTCTTAATTTGTGCTTGGAATGTGTTGATGTGCACAGCTAATGATTCAGTGTGAGACAAGATTGGCATCTGTGTTGTGGGTTTTCAAATAAAGAGCACTCTTCATTAAAAAAAAAAAAAAGAAAGTTTAAGAAATGCTTGGAAAAGTTCAGCAGTGATCTCAGAAGACAGTGAGAAGGAGGGCTGGATGAGGAAGGCTATTGTACACTACGTTAAGAATTACAAACTTAATAGGATTTGGACATGCAACCACACTTGCAATATTTTTGTTTTCCTTTCATGAATGCATCAGAAAGTTATAGGACGAATATTTTTTCTCACATCCTGGGAATATTTAAAGTTAAAGCTCTTTCTGTCATTTAGTGAAAAAGAACAAATTCATACTCTGATGTTAATGAAATGCCAAAAAAATGATAAGGTTTTTTATTTGTTTGTCCCTGGCTCCACATCACCCCATCACAACCAACAACAACCAATTGGAAAGATAAAGAAGATGAGGACCTGGGAAACCTACATTGCCTGGAGGAGAGTATGTTACATTATGGAAACTGGGAAACTTGAAAACATAATAGGAAAATAATAATAATAATAATAATGATAACAACAAAGACAGGGAACCTAGAAGGAAATAATTGAGTTGAACTCATCAAATATATTTGAGTGCAGTCCTCTTCAAACACCTAGGATATCCTATTGGGACAAAATGTGGGGCCGCCTGACCTTCCTCCAGGCCATGGGATTTGCATGAGCATCATCACTACCCTTGATGGCCATCCTAGAGCACTTGTACCCAGTACCTCCAGCATGATTCAGAGAGAAAAGTTCCCTATACAGTTTAAGACTGGGACTACACTAGACAAGCTTAAAACTCCTGGACTAGAAAAGTGATCATTGATGTGACATTCCACTTTTGGTATGAGAAATGAGAAGGAAACAAATAATCATAATATCATATTTGTACTTCAAAAGAAGCCCTCTGGCTGAAAACCGTGAAGTATCTCTCAGGGAAGGAGAGATCGCATGCAGCATTTTCAGCCTATTGTAATAGGCGCATCTAAAGATTTTTAATAGTGAGGTAGCAGTGGAAATGGAAAAATATATTTTGGGTGTAAAAAAGATAAGGAGGAGCTAATTTAAAATGAATTACTAATGAATTATTGATTGGACATTAAAGATGGAAAAGTAACATTGAGTCAAAGATGCTAAGAAATCTGTCTTGGGGAGTTAGGAGAAAAACTGATGAGTTTGATGTTAGATGAGTTAAGTAGAAAGTTTTCTAGTAATATCTCTACATTGATGTCAAATTGGAAATGGCAAATGTAGATCTGAAACACAGTTAAAAGTTGGAGGCTCCGCTGTTCTTCACAGAACTAGAAAAAAATTCCTAAAATTCATATGGAACCAAAAAACAACCTTCATAGCCAAAGCAAAAGTAAGCAAAAAGAACAAATCTAGAGGCATCACATTACTTGATTTAAAACTATACTATAAGGCCATAGCACCAAAACAGCATGGTGCTGGTGTAAAAATAGGCACATATACCAATGGAACAGAATAGAGAACCCATAAATAAACCCAAATATTTAAAGTCAACTGATCTCTGATAAAGCAAACAAAAACACAAAGTGGGGAAAGAACAGCCTATTCAATAAATGGTACTGGGATAATTGGCCAGCCACATGTAGGAGAATGAAATTGGATCTTCATCTCTCACCTTACACAAAAATCAAGTCAATTGGATCAAGGACTTAAATCTAACACCTGGAACTATAAAAATTGTAGAAGATAACTTTGGAAAAACCCTTCTAGACATTGACTTGGGCAAAGATTCCATGACCAAGAACCCAAAAGTAAATGCAATGAAAACAAAGATAAATAGGTGGGATTTAATTAAACAAAGGAACTTTTGCACGACAAAAGGAACAGTCAGCAGAGTAAATACACAACACACAGAGTGGGAGAAAATCTTCACTATCTATACATCTGACAACGGACTAATATCCAGAATCTACAAGATTCTCAAATAAGTAGTGTGTTAGGGTTCTCTAGAAGGACAGAACTAATGAAAAAAAAAAAAAAAATATATATATATATATATACACACACACACACACACACAAAGGGGAGTTTGTTAAGTATTAACTCACATGATCACAAGGTCCCATATAGGCCATCTTCAGGCTAAGGAGCAAGGAGAGTCAATCTGATTTCCAAAACTGAAGAACTTGGAGTCCAATGTTTGAGGGCAGGAAGCATCCAGCATGGTAGAAAGGTGTAGTCTGGGAGGCTAAACCAGTCTCTCTTTTTCACATTTTTATACCTACTTTATATTTTAACTATGCTGGAGCTGATTAAATTGTGCCCACCCAGATTAAAGGTGGGTCTGCCTTTCCCAGTACACTGACTCAACTGTTAATCTCCTTTGACAACACCCTCACAGACACACCCAGGATCAATACTTTGTATCCTTCAATCCAGTCAAGTTGACACTCAGTATTAACCATTGCAAGTAGCAAGAAAAAAACAAACAATACATCAAAAAGCAGGCTAGGGACATGAATAGATAATTCTCAAAAGAATGTATACAAGTGGCCAACAAACATATGAAAAAATGCTCAACATCACTAATGATCAGGTAAATGCAAATCAAAACCACAATGCTATACCACCTTACTCCCACAAGAATGGCCATAATAAAAAATTCAAAAAATAATAGACGTCGGAGTGGATGTGGTGAAAAGGGAACACGTATACACTGCTGGTGGGAATGTAAACTAATACAACCACTACGGAAAACAGTGTGGAGATTCCTTAAAGACCTAAAAGTAGAAAAACCATTTGATCCAGAAATCCCACTACTGGGTATCTTCCCAGAGGAAATGAAGTCATTATACAAAAAAGATATTTGCACAAGCATGTTTATACCAGCATGACTTGCAATTGCAAAAAAAAATGTGGAACTAGCCCAAATGTCCATCAATCAACTAGTGGATAAAGAAACTGTGATTGATATATATATGTGTGTGTGTGTGTGTGTGTATGATGAATGATGAAATACTACTCAGTCATAAAAAAGGAACAAATTAATAGCATTGGCAGCAACCTGGATGGGATTCGAGACTATTATTTTAAGTGAAGTAACTCAGGAATGGAAAACCAAACATCATATGTTCTCACTCATAAATGGGAGCTAAGCTATGAGGATACAAAGGCATAAGAATGATAAAATGGACTTCGGGGACTCAGGCGGCAAGGGTGGGAAGGGGTGAGGGATAAAAGACTACAATTGGGTTTAGTGTATGTTACTCAGGTGATGGATGCACCAAAATCTCACAAATCACAACTAAAGAACTTATGCATGTAACCAAATACAACCTGTTTCCCAAAAACATATGGCGATAAAAAGCTTAAATAAATAAACCAAAAAAAAAGTTAGAGGTTAGTGATTTCAATCATTTGTAGAGAAACAATAATAAAGAACAAAACAATGTAGTGAGGGCCAGGTGCTCTAATTTACAAATGTTATTCCATTTTGTTCTCGAAATAATACTGCAGGATGAACAATATAATACCAATTAACAGACGAGAAAAGTAAGGCTTACAAAAGTTAATTTGCTAGGGGTTCAATTTCAGAGTTTGTCTTCTTAAATTACTATATTTTGCAGGCTCTCTATGATGTTAGGGTGCACTAAGAATGAAAGAATTACCCAGAAACAAATAGAAAAAGAATCTCCAGCACAAGGGAATGAAAAACAAGACAGAGAAGCACATGCAAAAAGCCAGGGACTGAAATACCTTCAAAATCAAAGGTGGGGATTTGATAGTTTTGAATGTTAGTTTTATTGAAGTTTGTTACCCTTGCAAAGTGCATCAAAGGTGTTGAGACAGAGGAATAAGGAGAAAAAGTTATTTCATTCAGTCATTCAGAAAATGAATTTAGCAACAAATCTGAGCCAACTACTCTTCTATTTGCTGGAAATACAATAGTGAACAAGACAGAGAAAAATCACATTCCTAATGACATGAAATTCTAATAGGAGACAGACAATAAACAAACTATTGTGTAACTCAAGACCATGAATTGACACTTACCAATGAGGAACTCCCTGGGGTTATGTAAGTGAAGCAAATTCTCTGGGTTAGAAGTCAGATGGCCTTGAATCGAAGAATAAAGAGGAGGCGATGCTGGAGTGAAGTAAAGTGAACGTGGATAATTGCTGCACCTTGTGTGTTTACAGAAAGGATATAATATACAGGTTGCTGGAGAATGCTGACAGCAGGTACAAAAGCTATACTATGATATGAGTAGATGCATTAAAGCGGTCCTTAGGTACTGTGATGGTTAATTTTATGTGTTAACATGACTGAGCCACGGGGTGCCCAGACATGTGATTAAACATTAGTTCCGGATGTGTCTGTAAGGGTGTTTCTGGAAAGATTAACAGTTGCACTGATGAACTGAGTAAAGAAGATGGCCCTTCCCAACGTGGATAGGCAACATCCTTTCCCTTGAAAGCCTAAATAGAATACAAATGTGGAGAAAGTTTAAATCCACACTCCCTCTACCTGTTTGAGATGCGACATCCATCTTCTCCCGCCCTCCGCACTTTTGATTCTCAGGGTTCAGACTACTACACCTGCCTTCCTGGCTTCACCCTCCAGCTTGCAGATGGCAGATCCTTGGGCTTCTCAACCTCCATAATCACAAGAGCCAATATTCTGTGCCAGGTACTCTTCTAAGTTCTGTGGATGTGTGTGTGCATTTTGTTTCTCCGGAGAACCCTGACTAACACAGATACTTATGGTCTCCTTTTGTGCAATTTCCAATTAACAGGGAAGTTAAAGTGAGCAGTTGTATTTGCTGTCAAAACAGCATCCCTAGAGTCACCTGGAGGGCTTGGAGAACACAGAGGACTGAGTCCATTCCAA